ACAAAACAAAATCCATTATAAAACAGCAAATTGTAGTTTTTACACAGTTTATTATTGTTAATTAGTGAGTTTTAGATGTTTAACTGTGGACAGAGCCAGGCTAGCTGTTTCCCTCTGTTTCCAGTCTTTATGTTAAGCTAATTTAGCATCATATTTATCATCGATCTTCCCATCTAACTCTCTGCAGAAAAGCAAATTAGCATATTTCTCAAAATGTCGAACTATTCCTTTAAAAGTTCTGAGCCTCCTCTCATTATTAGAAAAGTCTTGATTTCCAGTTTCATTACTGACACTTTAAAAAGTCAAAATCAGGTCATGGAGGATGTTAGTGGCCTAAATTTCTCAGGAATGAATAATGTGTTTATTTGTGTGGCTCCTCTGAGTCACTTATGTGTGACTGATACACAGCGAAGAGCTTCACAGCGTATTAAGGAAGTCTGTGAGAGCTTTGTGCCAAGTGTCCGGGTCGTCCAGGTAACAGGGGTGACCCGCTCCTTTCATCACCACCACGCTGTGATTGGCCAGATTCCTCAGGTTGCCGAGTGATATTTCTCCGAGCTGAGTGTCCTGGTCACCATAAACGACCAGCGATGGGACCTGGAGGAGATACAGGACACAAAAACACAAAGAGATCCTTCTGATGAATCATTTGGAGTCCTTTCTCTCTTTGGTTTTTTTGTTTGTTTTGAAATTCCAACCCGTAGCTAAAGGGATTTTGTGGATGTCCTACATTTTACCTCAAGTTTAAAAAAAAATTTAAACAGGTCTTATAAAAAGATAAGAGGCAGGCTTTTTATTTTTATTAGGCATGACTTATTTATGTGTCTAGATGTCAATATGAATAAAAGTAAAGTAAAAAAAAAAGTAAGAGCTAGTCAGGCAGACCTTAATATTAGCTTTTATCAGCGTATCAATATCCCAATATACATATATTCCATTACAAAGTAAAACTCCTGCAATAAAGGAGACTCCAGTTTCAGTGATTAAACAAAGAATGGTCTGCGTCCGACAAGTTTCCAAAAGCGGACAATCCGACATTCACACTGTGATTTGCCAACAGTGTGGAGCTGAGAAAGAAGCCAGGGATTGAACTTCTCTTATTTTTTCAATCTTTTTTTCATTTTTATACTTTTATTTCATTGTTCCACAGTTTTCAGTATATTCACGTTTTTGCAGTTATTGTTATTTAATTTTTTTTTAACTACCCAGTGCTACAGAAAACCAAGCTATAGCTGCAAATTCATCTTATTATGTACACTTATATTAGGTACACTAACATACCCATATGGATATAAATAGTCATTAGTGTTTATATGTACAAGTTAATTAATGTAACATTAATGCGTCCGTGCTGGCCATGAGACAGAACAATAAATAAGTACATTTCACAAAGGAAAAATAATAATACCATCACTACTTTTCCTGTGGACAACTGAATGCAACACAATGAATGTCTACCAGGAGAAAATGTGTGGCATTATCCCCATATTTAAACTAGTATTGTGGCCCCGACCTCTCTCAGACGACCCTTGTTTGACCTCGCCTTCAAGTTCCTTTCATGTGTAAATGTGTAAGTTAATTATCAGCAAAATATATTGAAAGTATAAAAAGTAATAGTACTCTTTACATTTCATAAACTCATATTTTGCATAAAATCTCAACATGCATAGTAACTAGTAATTGGATCTACGATTTATATCTGTTTTGTTAAGTTATTTCACTATCAGAGACCAGCTTTGATATCATATCACTGCTTTTCTGTTCCGATATTTTACCCCAAATCACTGAACATCAAGCAGCCATGATGGTCTTATACTCGTGCACTTCATAACTTAAAGGGGAACTTCTCCACAGTGACAAACACGTCTCCTTCATGGATAATGCACCTTCACTCGGTTTGCCATCTAAGAAATTTAATTTTCAAATAGTCAGGGGTTGGATGAAAGCCGGTATGAAAGTATAAAGTCACATGATATCTGCCCCTCTCGTGGTCACATGCAAAAATCCACAGGCTCTTTTAAAAAGGGGAGAGGAGGAGGTGCTGGAAATGGGGTTGACATTCACAGTGAAGTTATCCTTTAAAGACGAAATGAAGAGCACACATACTGTAAAAAAAAAAGTTTTAAAAAAGTTTAAGAATATAAAGTGGAGGCATATACGACTGTACCTTCACACTCTGGTACTGCTCTGCTGTGAATTTGTCGGTGCAGATTGGAGCCACGGGGATGTAGGCTCGTATCAGGGCTTGGTGCTGGAGGAGGAAGGGGAGGGAGTACATCCCGCTGAGTGACGGGCTGATAACCACCACCGGGCTCAGGCTTAGCTGCTCACACACCTCTTTCAGAAAACCTGCAGGGGCCAGTTCTCCGACCGCTGCCGGGGCCTCGGCTGACTTAGACTGACCGAGTCCTGTGGACAGACGGAGGGTCCCGTTTTGTTGGACCCCAGAACTTTTGGCTCAGAGGTAAGTGAGTAAAGCTTCATTTGTGTAGCGCTTTTTAAAACACAGAGTTACAAAGTGCTTCACAAACAACAAAATATACATATATATACATATATATATATATATATACAGATACATACACACACACACATATAAAAACATATAAATACTTACATGGACGAATAAAACAATAAGAAAAGTTAAAAAAGAGACACAACAGCAAATAAACACAGTGAAGCAGATCTATAAAAAGCTCTGCCCATAGAGAGACAGATGGAGAAGATACTGCATGAGGTGAAAGGGACAGCAGCGTGCCGGTGTTCTAAAAACAACATGAAGTTAGTTATTGTAGAGATTTTGGCCACTGATTTACCAACATCAGCATTGTGTGCTGCAGCAGTGACTCACTGAGGCAATCAAGGAACTTTAAACCTTTATCACGCAGTCGCCCCAATTTGCATTAAAAAAAAGCTCTCAGGCTCACAGCTCAGTCAAACTCTGAACACACAGACATGATACACAAACTTCTAAGTACAGTGTGACTTACATTTCTCAAGGATATCATTACCTCCAGAGTCTATGGTGGATAAAGGTTCATACAGCTGCATAGAAATCATGGAAAATAGACGCATATGACTCCAGAACCTGAGAGTGTTATCTGGCGCAGTTATCTGACAGTGGCAGACGTTGAAAATGTTTTGCTTTTACATCCAATGGGGGGGAAAGTTCTTTGAGTTAGCAGTTAATACTTAATTAAAAGCTTCTGACAAATGGCTAATACAGTCATCTTTACAGTAACCTGCAGTGTAATATGCTTTACTGCCGTTTACTCACTTTATTAACTATTTTGTGCATCCCAGATTACTTTTCTGAAAAGGTAAATATATATATTACAAATGTAATAGTGAAGCCACAAAAACAATCCATGACTGGTAGTTTTATACATCTGATATGGTTTGTTCTGTCCTCAGATTAAAGACACTTCACATGCAATAACATATGACTATATGACTATATGAATATATGTCTTTGACTGTGAATTTATTGACCCCTTCCTGTAACCTTAAGTTAGTTTGTGGTTATTTAATGAAACAGAAAAATAAAAGTCTTCAAACTGACACAGGGTTCCTCTAAAGGGCCACAGGAGAATATAATACTGTAGTTGATGTTGTACTGAAAGTAATCAACCCGACCAGACACAGTGAACCAGGGGCCTATAGACTCTGTTTCCTGCTTTGTACGGTCGGTTGTCCAGACTTCAAGTAGTGAAATAGATCAAAGTTGATCCCATCAGACTCACCTGGCAGGTCGATGGCGACAGCCCGGTAGCCTGCTTTGGACAGAGTGTCCAGAGTGCCTATGTTGAGCCAGTTTTCTGAAGAGAAACGGATGCCATGAAGGAGTAAAACTGACATCTTGACTTCCCCTGCAGCAGGTTCACTCTGTCTGTAGAACAGCGGCGCTTTACAGCTCTCCAGCTGCACACTGCCCTCTGTCATCTTCACAGCCGACATCCTGAACACAAAAACAGCAGAAATCAGACCAAAGTTCAACACACAAAACCTGATCTGGACTTTAAATTAGACTTAAAGGATATTTGTTTGTATTTGTCTGAGACCTCCAGATGATGTTTCATATACTGAGTAGACATAAGTGACAGTTGTAGAGTTATAATATGGAGACAGAATGACAACACTAAATATTATTTAAATTAATTAATTAGTCAATCAAACAGAAAATGAACTGGCAACAGTTTTAATAAAATAAAAATATTTTTCATTCGGGTTCGTTTGTTGTTGGAAAATATTTTTCGTTCGGGTTCGTTGTTGTTGAGTGGATTTTTGAGTATCATGAAAAAAATGGCTGATGTGCCACTCTTCATTAATGATTAATATCCGTATTGATTGGCTGTGTTTTGGGGATTAGGGACTCTGTTTGAGTAAGAGCTCAGTGTTCATGAGTGGGTGGTTGTGTTTAAGTCCAATTTTTTTATGTTTCCGATTTTACTGCGTGGATTTCTAACATCCTAGTGGACTTTTTAGGGGGATTTTTTTCAGCCCAGGTCGACCTGATACCCAAAACCCGTCATAAGACCAAGACTCTCAGTCTGACTTCCATCCAGTGTTATAAAACAGTCTTTATCGTCCACAGACCACAAACAATGAAACTGCTCTGTGTTCTCCTGACAGTCGGACTGGCCGCTGGTAAGAAAGCTTTATGATCTTCATTGTCTTCAATTATAAATTACTCAGTTATTTCACTTTCTGTGGAGTCTTTGATTAAGAGTTAAAGCTCTGTATCTGTCTGTGGGTTTATAAAGAAACTACAAAACACAACAAATCAGCTATTTTCTATTTAACACCTTTTGTGAGTACTAGGATTGTTATGTAATATTAATGCCTGATTATATATATACCAGTAATAGTAGTAGTAGTACCAGTGATAGTAGTACTGGTCTGTTTTAGTAACCAGATGTGAGCTTTTTCTGCTTTTTCTGGTCTCTGTTCTCACAAACCAGCAGCACTGTCTTGGTCCAAAGGTTATATGTGTGCAGGCTCATGCCCAAATGTTGCAGCTGGTACCAGTGAGCACCTGTGCTCCCAGTTTAAACCCAGGCTGAATATATAGAGAGATACAGCCCCGCTGTGTAGTCAGCCTGTATCCTTATTGTTCTGTTATGTATAAACAGGCTACCGCAGTCCACTGAATGACTTCCAGCGCTCTGAAGGCAGAGAGCTGGTTCCTACCTCTTGGAACTCGGCTCGGGTGTTGCTGTTCCCGGGCCTGAACCTGGAGGACTGTGCCACACAATGCTCACAGTCTCTGGACTGCAGGTAAAGGATACATTTGGTCTTTTTGTCAGTGAATTCCACAAAAAAAAAAAAAAACAGCAATTAATTGATCCACTAACAGGTGTTGTGTATGTAGCCCAAAGCTTGATAAATCTTCTGAATAACTTAAAAGTTTACTGTGGAAAACTCGTTCAATATCATCCGAGAGCTATTAGTAGTGGAGCATCAGAATAAAGGAAACATTTTTACTACTGCAACATTAATATGAGTAACAATTATTTTAAAATTTAAATAAAGGATATAGCCACAAATACGATGCAATTTTACAAGAGGAGATCTCATATAAAGCAGATAAAAGAACAAATTCTGGAATTTGAAACAGATCAAAGTGCAAAATATATGTATATAAAATTACTAAAGAGATGATACTAAAACCAGTAAAATAAAATATGTGATGACATAAAACTCCAAAACATAATGTAAAAGTAAAACATTGTTAAGCTTCATCTTGTGAAGGCGAGTCTTCAGGAGACCCAAGTTGTAATAAAACTGAATTTCTGTATTGTAATGTCCTATTAATGATCTTAAAGGCTCATATATTAATTTATTAACATTAAGAAAGTGATTAATGATAATTTAGTATATCTTATTGTAAGTTTGTATCCATTAATGTACAAACCTTTGACATGAAAATATCCCTCAACACCAGAGCGTTCAACTACGAGACGCGTCCGACTGTCACCTGTAAACATCTGCCCTGGGTGGGTGACGGCAGCAACGCAGAGGTCAAGAGAAACGTAAACTGTGACCTCTATGAGAAGAAGGGTAAGACTCACACGTGATGTTACAAAGATTAATGAGACGTATCGGTGCTGGAGTTGTTTGATTGGTCGTGTTTTTGTTCCAAAGTCTATGTCAGAAAGTGCATTGTGGGTAAAGGAGAAGACTACAGAGGGAAAGTCTTCACCACAAGAAGTGGGCTCACCTGCCAACAGTGGTGGTCCAAGTTTCCTCATGACCACAGGTGAGACGTCGTACAATGCAAATATTAGTAAAAACTACGAGGTTAAACACCTCTTATTCAGCTTTCAGAGTTCAGAGTTCAGAGTTTGAAGGTGCAAACATCCATATTGGTTGAACAGTGAAAGACTTTTTTTATACATAATCCTCCAATTTTAGGAACTTGCAGGAAGTCATAGACCCTAAACATATAGACAAACCTCCACTACTCAATATATTTTTATATATAAAGTTATTTAAATGACTTTTCTGCCTCTTTTAGCACATTGTTTCGATTTTCTGGCCCCCAAAGTTCACTCTCATCAACCTCATTTCCAACAGCAGCTTTTTGACTCATGCATCAGGTGGCCAGACGGACTTTAAATACATGTTAATGTTGCTCTTTGTCTACTGGATGTGTAACGGCCAACTTTATAATTTGTTAGTAATATGTGTTTTTAGCTTGTGGTGGAATTAATCTGTATCCAAGTGGACAAAAAAAATCAATTGTTCCAGATCTAAATTAATTTGTCCAATTACTATTTATTTTAAAATGTGGATAAAAAGGCTCCAGCTTCACACTATTGATCGGATGTGGTTGTAAACACCTCAAATTAAAGCTGAGAGTCAAATGTGTCCTAAACCATTTTGACTTCTCTGTGTAATAACTGAAACAGTCCATCACTCACTGTAAAACTGTGTTTCAGGTGGACTCCCACAGCTACTAATGGTCTGGAGCTGAACTACTGCAGGAATCCGGATGGGGATCGCATCGGTCCGTGGTGCTACACCACTGACCCCGAGCGACGTTATGAAAGCTGCAACATCCCCCAGTGCAAAGATGGTACATCCCATATGATTATATATGAAAGGGGCATACAAGTGTGAACCTGTGAATCTCTCAGGGATTTTCTGGGAAGTATCTTGGAATAATTGATATAATTTGATATGAATTAAAGGGAAAATAGAGACAATGTTATGAGAAAGTACTCATTATTGTTACTCCTTCATTAATCTGAGTTGTTAAACAAAGAATTGATAAAATGTGTACTTTCATAGTTGGGTATGGTTTTGACTTTTAGAGGAAAACAGAGACATTTAAATCCAAGAAAATATTCCTTAATGTTCCTGGAAACTTTATTCCCTTGTGCTGATTTTTATTTTTACAAAAAAAAAAAAAAAACGTTAGGCTTTGTGCATGTTCAGCTTCCTGATGTGCGCTGACTAAAAGATGGTTACTTTGGTAAAAGAAGGTTGTAATTATCAAATGTACCAATTGTACACCATTTCCCTGTAATTACTACCAAATTACACAGTCCTTCCTAAGAAATTACAATTATATCAGCTCCTCTGAGGGAAATGATTTGGAAATTATAGGACCTGTAAAATAAAATGTTTCTGTGTGGGTGATGTTATTTGTTTGCAGAGGTTTGTATCACATGTAACGGAGAGGACTACAGAGGCCAGGTTGACCACACTGTGAATGGCAGAGAGTGTCAGAGATGGGACCAGCAGTACCCTCACCAACACATCTACCAGCCTGAAAAGTACTCAAGTATTCATCACTACATTACCTGTCATGTGCCTAATTAGCCAAATTAATTGATAATGTGATGTTAGTCTACAATGTATTTATTAACATGTTGTAACAAGACATTATGTAATAACACCCACATTTTATAAAACAGCTTCAGCCCAATATCTGATACATTTTCCCCCATTTACTTATAAATTATTACATATTGTGGTGGCTATTTTGAATAAGCTGAAGCCTTTTGATGGTCTTTTTGGGGCACTCTGTCTAAAGACCATTGTAGTAGGTAACCCTGTTAGAAACAAAAGCGTGAATGAGTCCCCCAGGTCGGCATTTGACGTGAAGTCCCTGAGTTTGGGTGTATGTGTAAGATGATAACAAGCTGATTTATGTGGCTGTTTAGACTGAGATCAGAGTCAACTATTTTTACAATTATGATGGTATCTGGTCTCACAAAATAATATAATTTAATATTCAGGAATATAATTTAAATGTAATAATTGGGATGTGCACAGATGAAGACATCCATTTTGGTTTGTCATATTGGATTCATGTGTTATTACTTAATGAAGTAAAAAATCACACAAAAAATGGGACAAAATCTATTAGATTTGTGTAATTATTACATAATGTGTTGTTGCACATGTGAATTTATGTCAAACAGGAAGTAGGAAGTTCTCCTACAGCGTCTAAATTGTCTTGTTTTGTTTTTGTGTACATAATAAATTACTTGTATTTTTAAATTGAATGTGTCTTTCAGGTATCCTGATAAGAGTCTGGATGATAACTACTGCCGTAACCCTGATGCCTCTCCGGTGCCATGGTGTTACACCACTGACACTGAGGTGGAGAGAGAGAACTGTGAGATCAGCAAGTGCAGTAAGATGTTGCTTTTGTTATAGTATCACAATTAGAGATACTTCAATAATTAGTATTAATTAATTACTCGATCAAAAGATAGAAAAATAATCAACAACTATTATGACAATGGATGAATCACTGAAGTTCTATGATAGTAAACTCTGCAGTTTTAGGAGGAGTGATAGTGACCTTTTCACTGTTTTGTGTTTATAGACCAAATTATTAAAATAATAGATGATGAAAATAATCATTGCAGCCCTAAATAAGACATTACTGTCAAATTATAATTTATATAATACGTTTTTTGGGGGATCAGACCTTCCTGATTGTTTCTTCTGCTTAGTTTTTGTTATTAGCGCTCTCTGGTAAAAACAGAGGAGACGTGAGCTGAATTGAGCCGGTTCCTGTGGCATTAGAAGACACAGTGCAATTAGGGAGTCTCATTAAGTCGCTGTAATTAAATTTAGAAAAATCACCTTTTTGGTGTTTGTGCAAATTACTTCCTAAATTGTGAGACTCTTCACAAATGCCCCAATGCTTCTTTTTGATTTAAGAGTAAATGCGGCTAAAGAGTGCAGATGTTTGTCAATGATTCAAGCCCTTCATTGTCTCACAGGGTCTCAGGTTAATTAAATGTTAATTACAATTTTTTTGTTTTGTTTATACAGATTGTTTTCAGTTTCAGTTTCTGGGTTTTTGTCTTGCTTTCATTAGGAGTAGTAGGATTAAAATTATTTTACAAATATACATAAAAAACTAAATGTAAGAATTTTAGGCCAATTCCTTTCCTCTGACTCTAACTATAAGTTGGGACCACCGTATGTTATGTAACTTTTATTGTATGACAGACCAAATGCTGAACTTTTAGCTTCAAAACTTAAATAAATAAACCCAAACAGTGTTTTGCCCAGAACTCGACATGAGTTGTGTAAGATGACACTGGCAACATTGGCATTTCCACTGAGGACAGAGAGCAGCCAGAAATCTATAAGATAGCACCCTCTTGTGGTGCCGTCGGTGTTGAGTAAAAAAACAAAATGCTGCTCAAAATCAACTCTCATCATAAACACTGATAAAAACAACATATCACATAGCTTCATTCTTGTTTTGGTGTTTTCACAAGACGAGAATTCAGTATTTTCTGTTATCCAGTGTTTTTATTTTCTTATTGTATCTGCGTCAGACAAACAAAACACAAACAGAAGAAAACGGGGGGAATTTTCACTTGAACAAATCGTGAAAGTTTATAAGTGAGTTGAAAAGGAAATAACTAAATCATTGATCTATACAGTGAAGTTGGGTTATTTATATTTGAGGAATCTAAACAAAAAATGTAAAATTCCTGGTTTAATCTTTTAAATTTCACACTTTTCCTCACTTCAAATTTAACCACGGTAGTGAGTAATGACAGACTTTAAAAATATTTATGTTTAATCAGATTGTCTCCAGTCATGTTTTGATAGATAGACATATACATAGAGACGATGAGAGGAGTTGTCCTTGATGGCTTTCAGCTTCCTTCTCCTCCTCTTCTTAGTCACTGCTTCCACACTGTCCAGTTCCATCCCCTCCACAGAGCTGCCCATCCTCACCTGCTTGCCAGGTTTGTTGGCACCACAAGTCCCAATGTCACCTCCCCAGCACACCACAGCAGAGAAGATGACACTGAAACTAAAAAAATAGAAATTTAAGAAGATCATTATAAATAACATTAAAAAGGGGGACTTTAAAAATTTCAGTTAAGTTTTTACTTTAATTTCACTACAATAATAAAACATAACTCACAAAAATCCACCACTTCCTCTATCTTCAGTGTATATTCATATATATATTTTTAATATATTTTTTATTGAGTTTTCTGAAAACAAAAAAAAGTCAATTACAAAAAATAACACTGACGATAAAGTAAAATAAAGAAGAATAAAAAGCAAAATAATAAATACATATTAAATAAATGTAATAAAATGACTGTATACACAAATCTGACTAAATGGGTACAAAGAAATGGAGGTTAAAGTTGTTCAGTATCTTGATAAGGCCTAAGGGCCTAAGTCTAGCTGGTGATAATTCCCCTTAGTTGGTAAAGTGGTATATTTAGACAGTTTAAAGGGCGGTGGGCAGCTGGATGTTCTCTCTAATGTGGGCAAAGAAAGTATTTATTCAAAAATAATTTCTAAAATATGTTCTGTTCTTGGAACCTTATTGTCTCTAATTTGGTAAAGAAAAGTACGTCACAAACCAACTGAGTAAAGCTGGGTGAAATGATATCTTTCCATATAAAAAGGATCAGACGTCGGGCAAAGTCAATACATAATATTAACCATATTAACCTCACCACAGTGCAGTCCAGAGGTGACCGGTAACACTAATTTATTTCTACTTCAACTTGCTCCTTCCATCCAGCTGAGGTGAGGGTTGAGAAACGGCAGCGCTCCAGCTTTACGACCAACTGTTTCCGCGGCCGCGGGGAGGATTACCGTGGTAAAGTCAACGAGACCACGTCAGGTATCCCCTGTCAGCGGTGGGACGCCCAACAGCCTCATGAGCATCCCTTCTACCCAAACACATACGAATGCAAGTAAGTACACATATAATATAGAGTTTGGTGGAGAAGAAGTTGAGTGTGTTTGACAGATGAAAGTGCTTTGGGGTTATTTTCTGCACTCATAGCCTGTTAGCTTCAAAGTGCTCTATTTGCTTCACACATGAATATTAATGTCAAGATGTCATTGCAGGGAAGTTTCTTGCAATCTTATTTCTCCGCTGACAGTTGACAGTAGATGATAGATGGTCAGTTACTCCACAGTATAAAGTGAGCCGCCCTCTGAGTGGCAGTATGGATGTGAAATGAATTTCAAACTTATTTGTGGTGCAGTGATCATTAATCATGCCGAAACTGATTACGAGTGTTTGAATCATCCATTTTTGATAGCTAGTTAACCTACAAGAATTCTGTTATTTTGATATAATCCCTAAATGAAATGTGCTTTCTATTAACTATGATCTTTTTAAACAACAGGCCTACATACAGATTGTACAAAATAAGATGGTACATTATATTATTAGATTTTACTAAAAGAACATTTAAGAATAGGACATTTCAAAATCACTACACTGGTGAAACGTTGCTTACAAAGCTCAGGATCTTGTAGCAAGTCATGTGTATAAATGCCTAAATGGTCAGGTACCAGACTATTTACAGGTGTTTGAGCATAATACAGATCATCTTGAGTATAATACTAGGTATAGTTACTCTGTAAATATTCAATGATATGCTAGGTTTGGATCTAAATCTGGAATCTGGAACAGTTGACCAGATCAGTGAAGCTCTCAGGCCAGGACCACTATGGAAATGAGTTATTTTAACTTTTACTGTTTTTATCCTGTATCCTGTTTCAATTTAATGCATATTACTTTGTTTCCGTTGTATGCTGTTTATAGTTTATTTTGTATTTCTGTATGTTCATGTTTTATGTTGGACTGACATACTGTGAATATGTAGAAAAGTGTGTTATGTGTGAGATGTTTTATGACAGAATAAAACCAAACATATTCTACCTGACTGTGTGCTACATCTCATCCAGGGGTTTGGAGGAGAACTACTGTCGTAACCCAGATGGGTCGGAGGCTCCCTGGTGCTTCACATCTGTGTCAGAGATGAGGACTGCTCTTTGCTTACAGATCAAACGCTGTGCAGACGACATCGAGGCTGAAGGTACAACTTAATGATTATTTACTTCAGATTTGAGCAAAAAAGATGAATTCAGTGAACAGCTGACTGTCAGCTGTAATGGATAAAAATTAACCTGTGCTGTAATGAGTATTTAGGACATGCAGGGCCATGGTATTAACCATGTAAATACTGAGGGCCATTAAAGTTCCCTCCAATCCAAGCCAAACCCTAGAAAATATTGACCAGGCACCAATAATATTAATATTAATATAAAATCTCTTATTTATCATATTTTACATAAAAGTAATTTCTTCTGTATATTTTATTTCCAAATGTTAAAGTAACACATTTGTCCTCTTACAAATGTGTTGTTACATTTGTTAGCCAGAAAATACACCCAATTCAATACATTACAACCTTAAAGGAACATTTTGGTGTTTTTCAACCTATTTTGTCCCATTTTTTGTGTGACAAATGGGGAAAACAATTCTTTAAATTGGTCCAGTATAGAGCGCTGCAGTCTCAGAACGGTGTCATCCTTCGTGGTAATTTTGCACCGTCAATGTACGTCTATTAAAAGTTTTTGCCACTGGCAGATTGTTATTATAAGTGTCTGACAACATTTTAGAAGGACCCTACTGAGTAAGATCCCTTTTGTTTAACCAGAACCAGCTGTTGCATTATTCTGTTCAAAACCACCAGACTCCATTGAGAAAAACTGTAATTTTAGGAGTTGCTGGTCTACTGCTGCCTTGATCGGCTGGTTTGTTTGAGTTATTGTGTGACCTTGGTGAGTTCAACATGTTAAAACACTAAAGTCACATAATAACACAGACAAACTAACCAATCACCAGCGGCTGCTGTTCAGCAAAAGTTACGTAGTTATACTTTAAGGTTTAAACTTCTTCGTGTAGTAATAAATTGAGTCTAAAAAATATAACTGTAGCCTTGTTTCATTGTTGTATTCAGTTTTTATAACTTTATTCTTGCTGTTTTCCATAATTCATCAAGGTTAGTAATGTCTTTTTTTTCAGATTGCTACCATGAAAATGGTAAAAACTACCGAGGCATGGTCCGCAAAACTCGTAAGGGAATCACCTGCCAGAAATGGAACGTTAACACACCTCACCGGACCAGGTACGATGATCATTAAAATGTTACAAAGACGCAAATAATTTTTTTGTCCAAGAAGAAAAGAGCCTTTACGTGAAAGAGCTTGTCCCCTTTATATTAAAGCTGTGTCCAAAATCCATATTGCATACTAATTCTAAGCAGAGTTTGAGTCTGCCTCAGCTGCAATCCATTTAACCACACTTACTTGTAACATTTATAAGATGCTTACAGCTTTAAAAAAATCTGTGTTGCAGGATAAACCCAAGGACACATCCTGAGGCCAATCTGACAGAGAACTACTGTCGTAATCCAGATGGGGACCAGCACGGACCCTGGTGCTACACCACTGACCCCAAAACTGAGTTTGACTACTGTGCCATCAAACAGTGTGGTACATAACTATGCTTCATTTGTCTTTTTTACTGTGGTGACAATTTAGCCTTAGTTTTCCGACAGGTAATTTAACAATTTATCTGTTTCTTGTTGTTTTCAAACAGCTGGAGAGAAACCACCGATGACTGAAGCCGTAGGTTAGTTTCTGAGCGAATATGAAGCAACATTTTGTGGTTGACAACAAGTCTTCTCATATGTCTTTACAATAACATGGCACCTTTTTGTGAACGCAGAGAAAGTGGAGTTTAGCGAGTGCGGAAAGAGAGAGGACCGCGCCCAGAGGTCGAGGTTGCGTATCGTGGGCGGGGTTCCCGGAAACTCGCCGTGGACAGTGAGTCTCAGAGACAGGTGAGTGAGAGCTAATGGTGGCCATAAACAAGTCAAATACACTCTGCTGTGCTGTGTGTGACCTCTGACCTCTTGTGTGCAGGAAAGGAAACCATTTCTGTGGAGGATCTCTAGTTAACCCCAGATGGGTGATCAGCACCAAGCAGTGTTTCTCCTCCTGGTAAACTTTATTTATTTAAAAGCTATTGGAGTGCAACCAGTGGTGCATCAGTAGGCTCATTTAAAAATGATGTACTCTAACCAGATTACAGTGATATAGATAGAACAGATAAAAACTAACCAACACTTGTAAGTTAGGATGTCTCAGCCTTTTAACCATTTTTAGCCATGCAAGCAGCATTACTCTAGGCATGGCGATGTCTGTTGGTCTGTCGGTCTACTGCTTTTGTCCAGACTGAAATATATCAACAGCCATTTGGTTACAGATATCCACGGTTCCTAGATGATGAATCCTAAAGATTTCTTTTATTCTAGTCCCACCATGAGGTTTACATTTGTGGTTTGGAGTGAAATGTCTCAACAATTATTGGATGGATTGCCAAAGAAAATTGGCACCCACATACATGTCCCCTTCTGGATGAATTGTAATCACTGTGGTGTTCCCTTGAAATTACTTCTAGTGGTCAAACTTTGAATTTGTCTGAAACTTTGCTTTTTTAACCAAATACCTGCAAAATTGATGACATTCCCATCAGCCTCAGCTGTACTTTGTGTTTTGTGCTAATCAGAGGTCGCAAAAGTACACACATTCTTTAGTCGAGTAGAAGTACAGATAAAAAAAGACTTCTTTACTCAAGTAAGAGTGAACAAATACAGGCTCTGAAATGTACTTAAAGTATAAAAGTAATAACCACTCTCAACTAACTGAAATTTCAAATAGGGTCGAGTCTCCCTCTTGTCTGTTTCGTCTTTTACGTCTGTTGATAATCCCTGTCAAAAACATTCAAAATAATGTAACGGGCCTGTTTTGACAGGAGTAGAAAGTACAAATATTTGTGTACAAATGTAGAGGATAAAAGTAAAAAGTTGTCAGAAAAATAAATACTCAAATAAAGTACAAATACCTGAAAAAACTTTACTTTCCACCTTGATGCGAATTGAAAATGTTAGCATGCAAACACACTAAACTAAAATGGTGAACATAGTAAACATTAGGCAATCACAGTTTAGCATCAGCAAGTTACCATTTTGTCGCTGTCGGGCAGAAACCTTGTATCTCCATATTTTGTCCTTTTTTTTCATAAAACACTGCTATTGGTCACCGTTTATGTCTGTTTGTGGGTTTTACAAATATTTAACCAATGAAAAGTATTAAAATTAACAATCTCAACTTTGACAACGCAGTGTTCAATTATTGTATATAATTTTTTTTTCCATTTACTGAAAAGTAACAATTGTAATTGTGCAATTTTATTAGCATTTTGCTCTTATCACTGCTGTACGTCTACAGCCTCATGGAGTAAAACTGTAGACTCTTTGTTTTGAAATGTCTGTTGTAAATCTCTTTAAGGAAAAGTTCCCCTGAAAGACATGATGATATTTCAGGATAAGACATGTGTTTCCATGTTTACAGCTACGTGGACCTGCCTGGGTACTCGGCCATGATGGGAACACTGTTTCGCGATCCACAAGAAGAAGAGCCTGGCGTGCAGACCATCCCTCTCACCAAGATTGTCTGTGGACCCTCAGAGTCTCAGCTGGTCATGCTACAACTGGAACAGTGTGTACTGTCAAGTGCCCCCAGCATACACACACACTCTCAGACATACCAATAATCCCCTCTCACTCTCTTCTTTCTATAGCCCTGCTCAGTTTAATGAGCGTGTCTCTCAGATCTGCCTCCCTCCTGAGCGCTATATTGTAGCTGAGGGGACAACCTGTGAGATCGCAGGATGGGGTGAGACGAGAGGCAAGTAATCCTTTGGAAGTGATAACTTGACACTGAATTACACGCTGCGCTTCGTGCAACTACAATATGCTTCTGTTACAATAATTGATAATAGATGACTTTCTTAGAACAAGCATCTTGTTTCTGCCCTTGAAATAATGTTGCATCTAAATGAAAGAGCTTTTCAGACCAGTGAGCAACAGATGGTGTTGCTATTTCCAGAAGCATTCAACATCTGTCCACCTTCCTCTTCTTTTCTCAATCTCTCTAAACACATTAGCGACTAACTCATTCCTCCTTACTGTTTTTCAAGGGACTGGAGATGAGACTGTCCTCAACGTGGCCCACATACCGGTTCTTAGTAACAAGGAATGCAACAAATACTTCAGAGGTCGTGTTCGTGAGAATGAGATGTGCACAAGCTCTTTCCAGGGTGGGGTAGGCGCCTGCGAGGTAGGTGTCCATGCAAAAGTGTGCACAGT